GCCTTCATAAGGCATTATAAACATGGTTATAATTTTTTTTAAAAAAGAATTACACTGAATTACATTTATAGCCATGTTTATTATACATTATGAATTGTTAATATAATGCATTATAAATAGTGTTAATAACATGTTATACTGTCAGTGCCAAAGAAGTCAGTCCCAGCTTGGAAAGCATAAAGTAAAGACAAATACCAAGCTAACGGTGGTGTACATTAACTTTCCCACATTGGGTAAAACACTGATGGCAGCACTAGTTTAAACTCTGACATTTGAAGCCTGTAATGTGCTTTATTATGTATGTTTTAGTGTTTCAGTAAATCCTTCAGTAAATACTTCAACTTGAAGCCTCACTCTAAACACTGGAGGAGGCTTTAGTACAGTACGCTTCACTTTACTTAGAGCGGACAAATACAACTTGTGAGCTCTTATAATTTGTTATGAACAGTACTTATAATGCATTATGTTAACAATTCATAATGCACAATAAACATGGCTATAACGTGTAATGCATTTTCATAAATATTTATAGCCATGTTTATAATGCCTTATGAATGCATTATAACATGTTATGAATGCGTTTATAGATGCTTACAAAGGTGACATTCATAGAAAGTGTTACCAACAATAGCTCAAGCTCTTGCAAAATTGCAACCATTCTTCGGTTGACTTGGATTTGAGAGTTGGATCATTATTATGTTGGAAGTGGAAATTCATCTTCATCTGCAACTTCCTGACAGAGACCCACACGTTGTGTGGCAAATATCTTCATGTTGGGAGGAAGTCATTATAGCATCTGTCCCAGCTGAAGAGAAGCAGCTCCAAAACATGATGCTCCCACCACCATGCTTCACAGTATGTACAGTGTTCTTTAGTTGATGAGTGGTATTATCATGGCTGATGTTTTATCAGCTCCTAATGGACCATAGATACACCAGGAGGATGCAGTCACGAAAAACATCAGGAACAGCTGAAGGAGTAGCTGATTTTTATTAGGTATTGATCAGAATTAATTTCATTGATGGCAAGTGTATGCTGCTTATCTTTGGACATAATTTTGAACAATGATTTGTCATCTCTGAACTCAGCTCCAGCCCCCATTATAAAAGAGTGTGTAGACGTATGAAACCAGGGTATAATAGTTTTTAATAATTTTTATTTTATTTTATTTATTAGCTTTTCATTTTACTCAGATGGTCCCAAGTTCACAGTATGGAAAATGTACAACATGCATTGAAAGGCACTTTTTACCAGTGGCTGGTTTGGGAAAGCAGCTCTGGCTTGGTTTTGCAGTGCCATGCAGTTCAGAGTAACCGCACATTTCCGGTTCCTTTAATCAGAAGTACCCTGTAGGCAAATTTACCACTTTTTTACCATTATGAATACATATAAAAACAAAGAAGACACATTAAGTTCATCTGACCTTTTGGATAGAAAATAAAATATATATTTGTGTTGTAAACTGACTCCTGGTTCTAATCACCACCAAAGTAAAGAAATTAGAGTTGGTAAGTTTCCCTCCGTCTCTAGTCAGAAGCTTAAAGAAAAAGTATTTACACCAATCTGGCCTTCATGAATGACAAACTCGGCCAAGAGCACCTTACATAATGCCCAGTTGTGAAACCGTCATGGTGACCTCCAATCAACAGTTGCCCTGTTTCTCGAAACCGAAGGCCGAACTGTTGTTGATTGGCCGTGAAAAAGCACAACAATTTGCATTGAAGTGCTGGTGTTGGGATCTGCATGCTGTGCCTTGTGCCCTGTATATTGTCTCCTGGACTCCATTAGGTACCGGTGAGGTGTTGTAACATGCAGTCAGAGAGGAAAGGCTATACAAGCATAAGCACAAATGCTGGCCTGATTTCAAGCTGCACTGCTGATAGAAAACAGATAGCCTTAATTGTTTGAGGAATGTATTGCTTTAACGTTCACTCAAATCTTTGACTCCATCTCTCTTTTTCTGTCCAAATCCACTGTACTGCTCTCACTCTGTTTCTCATTGCATTTTCTTCTGGTCATCTGTCTTTCTTCTTTCTGTTAAGAAGTGACATCATTATTCAGATATGCAGACTTTAGACCTCATCCTGGGATTGAGTATTCAAATGAGGTGTCTGAAGTTTGGAATAAAAAAATGAAATGAATTCTGTATTAGGCAAGTTTTAAGTACAGTGCCGTGACAGTTTCCCCCGTTTTACTTAATTTATTGCATATTTGACTCTTGACTTGACTTGATTTGCCACGCTTCCCTGGATGCCACTTTTCCCCAGTCCTTTTTCTACTGTTGAGTCATGAACACTGGTGACAGGGTGTCGGGCGCCCAAGGCTCATCAATGTGGGAAGGCAGCCAAGGCCACTGCGCCAGAACTGACAGAAGAGCTAGGTAGGTACGTAGGTGGCACATGTTCACACAAATGCCTGGACCCAGTACTTCTTAGCAGAACCTTGCCCAGAACACCCCACTCCCACCACCGACTTGTCTTCTTTCCACAGTGCATCCTGGTGCCATCACTTCCCCAGGTAAACGGTACCCGGCCGCAAAAGGAATCGAGGCTTATCAGACATGGCGACCTCCTTCCATTTCTTCAAGGTCCAGTTCCAACTTGTGCATGCCTATTGAGGGCACCTTTGATAATTCACAAGGGTTAGCATTGGCACTCAGACCAGCCTGAGGCTACGCAACCCCATACACAACAAGGTTCAAATACACTGTGTGTATACATTCCCCCTGGAAGTACTGGGTCCAGGCATTTGTGTGAACATCAGTTTGACACATGCCACCTACCTAACTACCATCGTTGCCGACCAGGTATACCCCTTCATGGCAGTGGTGTTCCCCTCTTTCAGCAGGATCATGTGCCTGCTATACTGCACACTTTTTCCGCTAATGGTTTGAGGGACATAATGAAGAGGTCAAGGTGTTGCTCTGGCCTCCAAATTCCCTGGATCTCAATCTCATCGAGCATCTATAGATGGTCTAGAAAAAGAAGTCCAATCCATGGCAGCTTCACCTTGCAACTTACAGTACCTATTCTTGCCAGATACCACAGGGCACCTTCAGAGGTCTTGTCTTGTCCATGTCTTGGTGGGGCGGAGCTGTTTTGACCGCACTTGGAGGTCCAACAGCATATTAGGCAGGTTCACAATGTTTTGGCACATCAGTATATGCTCACCATAGAAAACTCTGGGTAATTTAAGTAGGATGCTAGTACATGAAATGAGCCTAGTTTGCTTCAGTCAGCCAGAACACCCAAATCCCATGCACGTGGAAGAAATTCCCATGCTATAGTTCAACATAAAGAATTGCATTAGAATGCTCTTACCTCACTTATTAAGCAGCGGAGCATATACATTACTCATTAAAGCACGTGAGGCTTTTGCAGACCCTGCATATGCCTCAAATTAGTGGTGATCATGGCTAACAAGATACTTCGGACGTAATGGTGTACCTTTCGTCCCAGCTCTCATTCTGACCCCCTGTGGGGACGTTTGTATATCATTTTCTCCCTCTTTCACTCATTAACACCACCCAGACCCAGCTTCCTTCAGCTGCATAGGGAATCGGGACCCTCTGACCCCTCTGTGCTGAGCTAATGCAGTTCAGATTAGGTCAGGGTGGGGTGCAGGTTTGCTTCAAATGAGGGCTGCTTTAATTCAATTAAAGGATTGATTGAGGGACCCATTTGCAGTCGGGTGGAAAAGCAAATGACCCATCAGTAGACAGTGATTTGAAGGCCATGGAAATCTCCTTCTAGGCCTAGCTTATCCCCCATTATGTTGAGCACTTACCCTGGCCAGCACATATGTCTCTGCTTTCCTTTAGTTCAGAAGTTTCCATGTTCTTCAGGTAACTCAGCTTGAGCTGTTATGTTTTTCCTTTACAGTCTCAACCCCGGGAGAGCCTTTGGCCATGTGAACGCACAAGCATTCGTCTTAAGTTATGTTGCAGGAAGTGTGGGTGTGTTGCTAGAAGTCTGGAGTGTGTTAAGAGATCAGGACCCCCTCTGTGTACAGCAGCGCTGTGGGTAAAAGGGGAACGAGGGAGTTTGTTGAGACATCAAGGGCCCCAGCATGGCTCCCAAAGGCCCCTTTGGGCATGCTTATTTTGAGTTACATCCCTTTAAGAATGCAGCCTGCTTGTCAGCATCCATCTGGACGTGCTGACCAATTCAAGACCTGCAGTCGTATGCAAAAGTTTAGGGTGCCCCTCATGTCAAATAATGTTTTTTTTTCTTTTTTTGCCTCTTATTTTGTTTTCATTGTTCATTTCCACATCATCCGAGCTGTCTTTATCCTCCCTCTCAGGCATGTTCTCTTCTGTGAAGCTCTCTCTGCCCCTAATTTTGATGGATGCTTCCATTTTGATCATTGGAGTTTGAAGCTGATATTATTTAATTGGCTCAAAGAGAAAAGTGGGTGAAACCAAAGTTGAAAACTGAGCCATTCTTGGGTTTTTTTCTTTAGTGTTGCTGTTTCTCTTCTGTCCTCAACTGTTTTTTTTTGACAGTGGTATGGCAGCCTCTCATTTATATCACCATACTTACATCAACATCTTCAATAATGGTTAGTTTATATATTTTATTAGTGTTATTTATTTATTCTTGGTCATTTGCTCTGTGGTTCTCCTGAAGGGCCAGGCCTGGTATGACTGCTCCCCCACAAACTCCCCATACCCCCATTCACCCCCCCACCCCCGCCCCCCATCGATGATGCCTCTACATATTCGCTAGGAAAATATTCGCAAATCCTGCGCTTACTTTATGAAATTGGCCAAGCAATGACATCTGGAAGACTTGTGTTTTGGGGCAGTTTTTTTTCTTTCTGCTGATCTAGGACCTGTTTTTTATGCTGTGTGCTAATCTTTCCCTTTGGACAAGCTGCAGAAACTAATGTCAAACCAGCATCTATTCTCAACATGTTAGCACAGTGGAATGTGGACAGTGGAACATTACGGAGTCAAAAACGTGGGATGGCTTAAAGAAAATATCCCCAGAGTCCTGAAATACTATATATAATAGTTTTCTTTATTAAAGTCCACCTTTTCAAACCTTCAGTAATAGACAGCAAAGATCTATATACAATATATGTTCATTTCAACTTCTTAGCATAAAAAAAAAAAAAAATAACAATTTACAGTATGGTACATTTCGTCACATTAGCAGAAACAGGTAAAGTCCCCAGGGACTTTGTAAACATTTTACACGATTCCATTATCAAAATGTAGCAAAGTTCTTTGTTATGATAAGAACAAAAACAAGATCAAAGTTCCTTAATAGCATTATTCATTTGCATAGTACTTAAGAACAAAAAAAAAAACACCAGATAAATGACAAAAGAAAAAAACAACACGAAAGGACGAAAAGATTACGCAACATTAATTTTGTCAGATGTGAATGTAAACATTTTGATAAATATAATAAGTCGGAAAAACACAGCTTGGAAAGGTTGATAGGGTTGATATTTTAGCAAAATGTCTTGTAAAGATAGAATAGCATCCCTCTCATGGCACCACCTTGGCTGGCTCAGACATAGTCCACCTTATTACAAAAGCATGTTGTTCCATCCTCTCTTTCCTTGCTTTGCTTTTTGGTACTTGTGGTTTCATCAGCGTTCTTGTATAATTCCTCGGAAAAACTCTAATGGACTCCCCAAGAGAGCAGACTCCATTTATCTAAATGGAGTAGAGTCTTGTTGCTGTGTAGTTGTAGTATAGTGTGATTTCTTGCAAGGAGAATGCTTGGAGAATAGCAATCCTGGTCCTAGAGTAACCCTTCCCTGAACGTTTTAGCGTTTCCCTGCTCGAACACCTCCACTTCAACCCAGGAAGACTTGGTAATTAGTTGATTATTTGGTTCGGGAGCAGGAAAACCACCAGGGTAGGGGTACTCCACGAACGGGATTGGGAACAACTAGATTACAGAAACTGGGGGGTTTTGAACAACACAGTCAGTTAGTAGATCAATTCGACGCCCCCTTTCGTCACAATCTGAGACACACCCCATGCAACCAGGTTACCACGGTTGCCGCAGCTTCTCCCATCCACCCTTGCCTGCTGGGATATCTCGTCTTCTCCCAGGACGCGGTCCCACACATTAACCCCGGTCATCTTCCCGGTGAAAGCTGCTTCCGCGTTGAACGTGTCTTGGAAGCCGAATCTCTTTGCGAGGCCATCAACAGAGTATTCCTGGCCCAGGATTATGGTCCCTCCTTGGGGCAGCTCGTGGCCCTCGGCCACCCCGGGAGAACTCGCAGCCTTCTGGCCATGCACCCAAAGGGAGGCGAGGCCTTGCTCTGAGCTCCAGGTTCCACAGAGGTGCGTCCAGTGACCCTCCTCCACCGCCCCCCGGGCCTCCACAAGGTGGGCTTCCCCTCCGACAGTGAAGAGGGCACTTTGGCCATTCAGCAGCAGTTGCAGCTCCAGTGGGTTGCCGGTAGTGCCATAGGAGAAGAGCACTGTCTTGTTGAGCACTTGCGTAGGTTTGGTCCACAGGCATACTGTGAAGGCATGGGTCTGCATGGACCGCTGGGGGATGATCTCAGCGTGGATCTTCGGAGAGCGCATAGGGTAGAAGAGAGCCATGTCGCAGCCTAGATGTGGTGACAGAGAAAATTGTAGTGTTAGTTTTGACCCTGGGAAATTCAAATCCCTCTCTGAACTTAAGGGATCAAATATGAATCACATGCTTGCTTCAAACCTGCATCGAGTTACCATCTCAAAGTATTCCGAAGAGTTCTTGAATTTTTGTCTGTATTTTCGTCCATTGTTACAGTTGACAGCATTCAGTGATATGTAGTCATATGGAGTCAGAAACCACATAAACAAGTCTGGACTCGCTTAAAGACTTGTGAAATTTAAGACTTGAGTAAAACACAAACAGAAGTGATTCAATTTGGACTGCCAGCCTAAATGCGGTAAAAGAATTAAAGCTTTCGATTCCAACCCTATGTGAATGAGTTTGCCTGTCGTTTTTACTGCAGGCATGCGCAGTTATTACTGCAATGCTGTTCTCCTGCAGCTCACAGTGGCATCAGGTTCAATACGGCTTTGAATAGCTAGTCTTCCATGGCAGAAAAACCTTCAGTCTGAAGGACAGAATGAAGTGCTATAAGTGCGGAATGACCCTGTTTTGAACAGTGCGAAATCTGCAGCTAAAAATGAGACTAAACAAAAATTCTGAGACTCAACACAGACTCACAAACCAAAAACCTGGGACTCAGGTTCGCTAAAACAACTTGTGAACATCTCTGCTTGCAGTTAATGGAAAGTAATGCGAATTGCACTTCATGTATGCGCTGTTAAAAAGGGATTTCTTTCATTTCATGTGCGAGATCCATGCCAGTGAGTGAGCACTGGTATTTGTGAAAATTCCGACTTTTCTGTGCCTGACCTGGCCATTGCCAAAACTACTCGATCATGAATTAAATATATTTAAACACACTTGATAAACAGTCCCGTGTGCAGAAAGTGCAGCGATCTGCTCTTTTAAAAGGTCAAATGCTGATGTAATCAAGCATGAATCCTCCCTTTTTTGAAGGCTTATGTCAGCTTATCTTATTAACGACTTTTATACTGTAAACAGCAGGTCATTGTGGCTGTTTTCCAGCTGAAAGGGGAAGATCCTCCTCCTCCTCCCGCAACTAATGTCACATTTGCGCCTGTCTCCTTGGTGGGAAAACCCAAAGATCAAGAGGAATCCTTCTCCTTGTGGCTCATTACCTCATTTGTTTAGGAGAAAATGACCAGACCCCTTTGTAAATATCTGTGTTAGATGGTCAGTTGTGTGTGTACACTGTTGGCAGAGTTACAGAAAGACATTTGAAACAAGAAGCCAGGCCAACTATTTAGATCTCCACTCATATTCGAAGAAGAATCGTACGCACGTGTGTCTGAGTATGTATGCAGGGGTGGCAAGGATTAGATGGTCAGTTGATGGTCAGTGGCATCAGTTACGAAAAAAAAATGTTTTTTTGCTGTCGACTTCTGTAGCGCAGTATAATTTTTCTAGTATATTCTGACAGATTACATTTAGAGCTGGCCATAAAAATGGGCTTCGCTAAACAATAACACACAATAACGTAACAACAATGTAGCAAAAATGCATAAAAAGCTGCATCAAACTCTCTAGAATGCCAGTTAGTGCTAGATTACTTGAAAAATCTTTAATACTGCTTTGATTTCGTAAACTTCTCATGGACACACATATCTTTATATAGCAGTATTTACAGCTATATAATCCTGACTTTGCAAGTAACTTTTATACCACTTCTATAACAATGCTAATTTGCTAATAATGCTTCAGTGGAAATTCTATGGAAAATTTCAGTATTTTCTTTCCAAGCCAGCAGTGGTGTTCACTTCCCAATACTACCTAGGCCAGCCCTCTAATACATAGACATTTGAAGCTCATGATGCTTATAACAGATGTTCAAGTTGCATAGTCTCTATTTGTTGTTGCAGTTTTATTTCAATAAAGCCTTGACTGTAATGGAAGGAGTCTGTCAGCCTGTTAGGTGTCTGCCAAGCTGTTCAGCTTAGACTTAATTAAACTAAACCTGTTTCTTCATATACACACAATTTGTAATATCAAACCTTTTAATTTCATTTTATTTACATGCGATGTGTAACTACAAATATACATGCATTTGTGAGATCCTGCTGGTGTGGGTTTCCTCCCTTTCAGTGATGCTCACAAAAATGACTTGAATGCTCCGCTTGGGGAGAATTTTTAGCCAAACATGGGTTTAAAATGACCAGCAGAATCTCTGTTTATGATTCCAAATGTGAACTAAGTACTAAGCTGATTCATCAAGAGTGTAATTTAATTTAATTGATAAATTTATTTTAATCGAGCAACCATGATGGCTCGAATTGCAATACAGTGCAGCAAGCTTTGGTGGTGATATGGCTTTTTTTGCATCATAAAAGAATGAACTTTGAGTGATGATAGTAGCAAAGGGAAAGGAACCAAAGAATTCATGATATGCTAGTAGATTAATCAAATAATAGTCATCAGGTTAATCGATTATATAATAGTCATTAGTTGTGTGTCTATAGTGAGTTTTTTTATGCAAATGAGGTGGAGAGGGGGTTTTCTGGAGCTGTAAAGTCCAGTTTTGCAGGCTCTTTGCTTTTCAGCTGATTGTTCAGTTTTGACAGCTCGCGATTCACCCATTTCATAATATTTTCAGACCTCATAATATTTTCTTTGTGAGTCTCCTGAGTATCCTCTCTTCAGGGCTGAGGAAAGTTAGCCTGTTCTGAAATGGGCCTCCTCTCTTTCGGTCCTCCCATCCCCCTCCAAACAAGCCGCTTTGGTGTGGTCACCCAGGCTGCAGATGATTAGGCCTCCTTCTGCTTCTCATTTGTTCCAGCTTTCCTCGGCCGGATAACGCAGACTGCTCGGGCACGCGCAGATTAAATCATTGCTGGCTGATCTCGGCTGGGAACTGCATCTGGCTCACTGGACACCGAACAAGGACTGTACAGATTCAGGCTGAGAAGCTCGATGTAGGCCACTGCATGCTAAACATGATAACCTTGGACGCTGCATAAGTTTTGGTGGTGATTGCTTATGAAAGTTTGAGGGACCCCAAACGGTGATGACTTTGTGTACATCCAGTATAACTGTAATTAACTGTGTTTGCTCTTGGTTGGCAGGTTTCTACACTGATAGAAATAAATCATAATGTACAGTTAAACATTTACAGTGCTGAGGCCAAATTTGTCACCTCAGCAATCCTTTTTATTCATATCCCAGTCGTTCATATTTCTCAAGAATAAGTCTTGGCCAACTCAAATCAGGCAGTGCTGATGTCTTTGGAATTGAACTGTGACTTCTTTTGGTCAGTTTCAATATTTGCTTCTCACTGTCATCAACATCACCAGTATCCTTCATTACCCATTGTCAAAATTACTCATCTTGGAGGTTTTCCTTTTACAAAGTCACGCTCTACATAATGTACACAGTCAACATTCCACTCTCCAATGATTTTATGAGGCTGTTTTATACTATTGCGAAGGTTCTGTGACCATAATGCTAAAATCACCTCCTTCTTCCAATTTACACTTGTCGTTTTTATCAGCTCCACTTACTATATAGGAGCACTTTGTAGTTCTACAATTACAGACTGTAGTCCATCTGTTTCTCTGCATACTTTGTTAGCCCCCTTTCACCCTGTTCTTCAGTGGTCAGGACCCCCATGGACCTCTAGTCCTTCATCAGTGGTCACAGGATGTTGCCCACAGCACGCTGTTGGCTGGATACTTTTGGTTGGTGGACTATTCTCAGTCCAGAAGTGACACTGAGGTGTTTAAAAACTCCAGCAGCACTGCTGTGTCTGATCCACTCAGACCAGCGCAACACACACTAACACACCACCACCACGTCAGTGTTACGGCAGTGCTGAGAATGATCCACCACCCAAATAGTACCTGCTCTGTGAGGGTCCATGGGGGTCCTGACCACTGAAGAACAGGGTAACAAAGTATGCAGAGAAACAGATGGACTACAGTCTGTAACTGTAGAACTACAAAGTGCACCTATATAGTAAGTGGAGCTGATAAAATGGACAATGAGTGTAGGAATAAGGAGGAAGTTTAAATGTTATGGCTGATCAGTGTTTTTGTGTTGTAGACACACGTAGAACAGGTTTATGGCAGAGATGTTTACAAGTCGCTTTGTGCAAGTTGAGTCTTGATTCTTTAGTAGAGAATTTAGAGAGTTTTTCTCGGTATTAGATGCAGAAATTGCATTGCGCAAAAGTAAAGCCTAGTAAAAACCTGTCAGGTTCAACACAGCTTCACAAAACAAGCCTCCCATTCCAAAGGTTAATCATTCAAAGGCTATTTGGCAACACTGCAAAAAGCATTTAATTTAACATAACTCAATTTCATTCAATTTTCCAGTTTGTTACCTGCAACACCACCCCCTAGTGCACTGTTAATGTCATGTAATGTAGGTTGATACCTATGCAAACATTGGTGCACGTTTACAGATTTGCAGACGAAGAAATATAATTAGTCCCCAACCTGGCTTGAGTTTAAATGAACGGCTTCCTTACCTGCGGGCAGCACGCGGCTGGACGTGGCCCTCACGTAGAGCTCCAGCTGCTCCCGAAGACTCTGCAGTTCGGCAGAGATGTCCAGTGCACCCTGGTCCATCTCTCCCCCGTCTGGGGTGGCATGTCTGGTCTGGAAGCTCTTAGCCCGTCCAGTCATCTCTTTTCCATGCATCGTCCATGTTGCTGCGTTGTTAAGGCAGCTGCTCTCCAGCCTTTCCAGGCCCGCAGCCTGCTCCTGGACAGCCTCGTGGATCCGCCGCAGTGCCTCTTCCTGATGTTCCTGCTGCTCTGTGGCTGCCACCTTCAGCTGCTCTAGGGCCTGCTGCAGCCGGAGGTCAGCGTGCGACCCGGCCCTGCGGGCGGCGCTCTCCACGGCTGCTGCGCATGAGCCGCCGTACTGCGCCACGAACTGCAGCACCTCCCCTCGCAGAGAGCGGAGCTCCACCTTCATCAGGTCGTCTGAGTACTGCAGCAGCATGTTCTCCTTCATCTGCGAGTTCTCCAGCATGGTGAAGAGCTTGTCCCACTTGCTGAACTCTGGGGCAGAGCAGGGAGGGGGCGGATTGGTGGTGGGGGCCTCCACTGAGGGGTAGAGAAGGGCATAGGTGGGGTTAAAAACCATGGTTTAAACTCTGAGGTCCAGATGTCAGTTCCTTATCTCATAAATTTACCTTAGCGTTTAAAGACTTATGTGTATGGAAGGGGAAACCAATGCAAGGTCTTGCTGGGTAAAAAGTAGTGGCGGTCCTAACCCAAAAAGTATTTGTTTGTACTCTTCAATTCATTAAAATGTGCCTGCAGAGTAGTCGGGCCATGTGCTTGTCCACATTGGGCCATGGTAAAATTGACCAGCGTGTAGAACTGGAGCTTGTTATATGCTACCATATTGTCTATCACTATGTAAAAGAAGCTCTTTGCTGCGTTTACTGTTGAATGCACTGCGATAGTTTCCAATTAAGCATGCACACACATTCGGAATGGAATTTGGATCAATGTTATCTTATTATGGATTTAGTTTAATTTAGTTTTTGGGCCTCGACGTTAAACTTAAAGGGACATTTTTCAAATTGTGTGTCATTCACAGTTGTTTGCTGTGAAGAGCTCCATTCTGTAGAAACTTGGTGAACTAGTCATAGAAGTGGTGATAGGAACCAGACATCCGAAGCGTTTAATGCCTCTAAAAGTTCCTTCATAGAAAGTTTTTAAACTCAAATAGTGAATAATAAATCACATCAAACCACTCTGAATGGTTTTATTTACAGCTTAGTGAATGAATTATGTGTAAATGTCAGTGGAAATATCAGTGGAACTCCTCTTTTAATGAACTTTGGATGGTTCCAGACTGATTTTGTACTCTCCGTAACTTACTTTGAATAATTGCTGATAACATACTGATAATAATTCACAGTAATTTCCAGTAAGCCTTAAGATTAATAACTGAATAAGTTTGGAATGGAAGGGATTGAAGTGGCTACCTCCATTTATAATGGGACTTTTGGTGTTAAGCTCAAATGGGTGGAGTAAGACATTTTTCTGATGAAGTCTCTAACCTCCTTAACCTTTTCAAAGGATTCAATAGATTTAAAATATGTTTTAGTCCAAAACCCAAAGCCCAGAACTTTCATAAAACAGTGTCTCCGGCATCGAGCAGCATATTCTTCACCTTTTCATGTAATAACTATCTGCAAGGGAGCTTTTAGGAACACTAAGCTCTTCAGACGTCTGGTTCCTATCACCACCACTGTGAAAAATTCTCAGTAAGTTTCAGAATGGAGTAGTTCGTGTCAAACCACTTGGATGTTTTTTTTTTGCAGTTTAACGATTGAATTATGTGCAAATTTTGAAAATTTGGCACAGTTCCCCTTTATGCAAGTGTCAAAGCATTGATCTGTTAATCTATTCAAAGTGTCTCTCTCTTTCTCTCTCTCATTTGGCAGGAACTGTCTGCCAGGTCTTTTGTTTTCAGGCTGTGCGTGTTTGTGAGTTAGAGAGATACAGAGAGAGATTTGTCCCCAGTGTCCGCTGAGGGCCCCTGCACGTTTACATCATCACAAACCATAAGCAAGACTTTTTCTCTCTGCGTGTGCAGCCAGCTGTAGGTTAAGCGCCAACATTTTCCTGGACAGTCTCCCTTATTATAAAGGCGTCACATTCTCCACCACCGCAAAGATAAGTAACTGTAAACACTGTAATCAGCAGTAAGACATGCAGATTTGTACTTTAACAGATCACTACCTGTCGAGCTTACTGTGTCTCTGGAATGTGAAATGGATTAATTGCAAAAATCGTTGAGGAACGATTCTTGTAGATGATTAATAAAGTATCAGTAACACAATCAGTGACATATCAGTGCAGTAGCAGTAGTGAAGCATCTGAATACAGTGAAGTAAATATCCTGTAGATGTTCTGTTGATACGTAACTTACAGTAAGTAGATGTTTTGTTAAAATGTTACTTCCAATATGCAAAACCTAACCTTACCTACCTTACCCAACACCTAACCCTCAGCCTGACCCCAATCCTAGCCCTAAACCTGGCCTAATCCTATTCCTAACCTTAACCTCAACCCAAAACAGAATCCTAACCCTAATCCTAACTCTAACCTTAACCTCAACCCAAAGCCTAATCCTAATCCTAACCCTCACCCTGGCCCCAATCCTAACCCTAATCTTAACCCTAACCTTAACCTCAACCCAAAGCCTCGTCCTAACCCTCGCATGTTACTGAGAGTCCATTGAGTGTTCGTTTCCTCTAAAAATGACCACTCAAAATAAAGCGTCACCATCATTTAAATTCTCTCCAAAGTGACCTCAGCTCTCTTATTCTACCAGCCTCTACTGACACTTTCAGTCTCATCACACTGTCCAAAAATCTAATATGCATAAACGAGATGTTAGTCTGTGCAGATTAAAGGGAAATTCCACTGATTCAAAATTTTCTCAGCATAAATAAATAGTTAAGACGTGAACAAAGTCATGCTCCGTTCTCGAGAACCTTACCTAGTCAGAATTGTTTACAGTGGTGGTGATAGGAACCAGACGTCTGTAGAGTTTAAAGCAGCCTCTAAGATGCCTCTAAATTAAAGCTTTGACTAATAGTTGTGAATCCCTGGCTGCCTGGTGTCTGTAAGGTCTTGAAATGTCTGAAAATTCATTCATTGCAAGTTGTTGATAGGAAACATAGTACGAAAAGAAAACATACATTTTTTTCGTATTTAACACTGTTTTACCAAAAACTCAGAAGGTTCACTGGTGGTTTTGGATAGTAAATAAAAATGTATTTGACTTGTACACATGGCGACCCCTGGTTCCAATAAAGAAGTCATGTTTCTATACAAGGAACCATTTCACATCAAGCCTGTCTGACTTTGTTTACATCCTGATGACTGAATTGTTATTTTAAGGTGATAATTGAGTTGATTAGCACACTTCAGCATCTGCCCATTAGCTTCTATTATGAGTGTATTTCCACAGGTTTTCTGTTCTTATCAAAGTACAGGAAACCTATTGCCCATTATTATAAGCTATAAGCTGTAGATGGAGCAGATAGAGACTGGAATGAAAAGCTTGTATTGTTTCTTTAAGTTAGAGGTCACAGGTTACAGCATATCGCTGTTGTCAGGCGAAAACCTCGTATCTCCAAAATGGTAACTTTACAGGAGAAGGAAAAAACTTACTTTACTTTTAATGTAAGTCAATGGAACCAGACTTTTTTCCAAGTCTTTTTGGGCCGTTTCTTTTGGTCCATTCATCATGAAATTTATACACAATGTAAAGAACATTGGGTATATTTGAATATGTCAAAAACTGAAAACGACAAAAATTGGAGATAGGAGGTTTTCTTCCGACAGCAGTGATATGTTTGAGCTTTAGTAGTTTGCTGTCCCATGAACTCACCATTAGGCTCTCCCTCGCCGATCTCATTGTAGTAGGAGTCTAAGTAGCTCACCTCAATGTCATCATCATAATTTGGGGGCTGGAGGACCACCATGCTCACCGAGCGCACCAGGCAAACGGCCTGGAGAATCCTCCACACTGACATGCCGGCTGTATGTGGTGTGTCTGTCTGTCCGTATTTGGGTTGAGTTTCAGGTTTGAGAGTAAGATCTAACTAAAGTGAGAACAAATGGAATACCTCACTTTCTCTCTCTCTCTCTCTCTCTCTCTCTCTCTCGCGGCTGGTCCTTGTTAAATGCTGAGCAATCTGTTGGCAGTGCTCCAGCATGTGCCGTGAGCTGCAGCTGAATGGAGAGTGAGCTGGAGAGAGCTGCTCTGCAGTCTATATAAACACTGAGAGAGAGAGAGAGAGAGAGAGAGAGAGAGAGAGTCAGCCAACTTCGTTGGAGGTAGCTTGCGTGGTGTAATCGCACAGATCTGTGCTGCTCCTGCAGTTACGAGAAAGAGGGGAAACAGAGGGATGTGGGGGCGACTGGAAAAGACATAAAAAAAAGGAAAGAGCAAGAATAGAAGAATAAGACAAAGGAAGAGAACCAGAAATAGCCAGAAGAGTTCTGAGTTTTGCTGATTTGGTTGTGAAAGAGAAGATATAATCCAGCCTTCCAAATCAATTCTGTTCTTTTTAGAAGCGTGAAATTGAAGCCCAAACTCGACCCCTTCCAGCACCTTTGAGACCCGACTCAACTCGACCTGGCCCCACTGGTAATGGTATGAATTTGAAACCCGAACCCGGCCCGAACACGCTCACACGAACAGAGATGGGTTCTCAAACAGAGATTTAGGGAGTGATTCTGAATGCAGCTATAGAGTATATGAGAGAAGGAGAGAAAGAGGGAGAGGCTGCATAAGAGTGTGCACAGTTTATATGAGCATATTTTTTCAGATCACAGAAATATTTAAGTTGTTAACGTTAACCCTCTTCTGCACCCATTATGAGAGCAATAAAAATCAGTAAAATAAACAATAAAAAAAAACAGTTCACTTGTCTCGCATAAAATGGTCCTTCATTCCTTTTTTCCAGACTTGAATATTAAATTCAAAAACATTTAAAAATTAAAAGTGTGTGCAGGGGTCATTTTGGAGTATGTTGCCTTGAGGCAACAATGTGTGACAATGGGAAAAACATATATAGAAATATATAGACCCGTGTTCCCTGAAGTGGTGAGACTTGGGTTGTGACTGGCTAAATCCATTCCAATGTCATATAATGTTGCTTCTGGGCAACAAGCATATTTCTGCAAATTCCCATAAAAAAAAAAAAAAAAAAACAAAAATGTATACCGATTGTTAAAAATGAGGTTTAAATGCTGACTAAGTGATAACATGACTAAGTACATGCTTTTTATTGACTTACTTAAACTCTTCCCTTCATTGTTATCATTGTCTTTGAATATGTATATTGTTATTGTAAAGTGAGGAAAATGAGTTTGTCGCCACACATCATGCAAATGTGTTTTATGTTAACCCTGGTGTGTTTGGTGTGATTCCCCTATTAATGTCCTTTTCATCTTATGTAAACTTTGTGTCGTTTTTTTTTGTTCTCATTTATGGATTAAAGTAGTGAAACTGGATAAGTTTAGATGCATAATAAGTTGCTATACACAGACATTTTTACAAAGTCTGGGGCTCTTATATTTAATTATTTATCAAATCTGTCCTCTCCTCAAACTTCTTTGATGCATTAATTATTGATTACTTTCCAAAATGTAATCGCAGGTATGTTGTGTAAAAATAGTTCGTCTGACTTTATTTATTGCTGTAAGAAGGTGTTTATTTGATTTATTTTCTCTTTTTTTGTGTATTTATTCTTGCTTTTAGCTTTTACAGTCTGGGTTGGTAGTTTTTTCTTTGTTTCAGGCTGTATATTCAGTATTGCCTTTTGCATTGAGCACAAAAGTTCAAAAATAGATTTCAGAAATCAGATAGAAACAAGTCTTCTACATAAAAAAGTCACTAATTTGAAAACCCGAGGTGGTGTTGTATATGAAAAATTGGCCCGAAAGCTGATATTGTGGGTGACCATGTTTTGGTTTTCAAAAAAGAGGACACCAGGGTCAAGAGGGCAGCATGAAGCAGAATGTAGAAATAAAATGTCAACTTGGAAGCAAAACCAATTCCTGGGCATTTTAGGCACTTTGGAAGTCAGATGTTTTTTAGTTCCCAAAAAGAGGACAAAAAAGAGAGGATAGATGGTCACACTAAACACTACACAAGATGCTGCAAAAAAAAATCTATGGCTCAATCTCATTTCTTATTTTTACCACTACTCCTTATTTTTGAGGGTCACTCTGCCCCTTGGAGCTGATCTATACGTGGTAGTGGTTGAACTCTTCCCTACAAAATGGGACCCTCAAATAAAAAGAGCATCACTTCATTAACAGCTACTAGCGCTGCTCTGTAGGAGACCCTGCCAGTCTGCAGTGATAGCAGAGGAGGGTAAAGTTCAGCTCCTCACTGCTGGGCTTTAGTTACATTTAGGGCATCATATGCTTTCAAAGAGGGGGACAATTATTTATTATCACCCACCCCTAATTCTTCAGTGATATGAAGCTGAATTCAGATATTAACCAGCTTCTTGTTCGAATTTTCCCGTTCCACCTTAAATGGAGCAGCAGTTACATTCTGGTGCTTCAGGCGTCAGAACTGCTGGACTATTTAAGGTGGAAAGAGAAATTTTGCTAGCTAGCTACCGAGACATCAGCATACTATCAGCGATTGTTTATGCTTGTTATGAAGAAAACGACCATAATACATTGAAACCACATTAAACTAAGATAAAACAATGGTTATCATAATTTTTTAACGGAGAAAATTCTCACATTTGTGGGTTTCTTTGGTCTCTTGTTCAGCCATCTTGTCGTTTTTTCTTTTTTTCTCATAACTCTCTGTTTGGAGTGTGAAAAACCTCAGTTTGGAGGGTCATGTAGCCCCAACACTTCACCCTACCCCTCCATCTCAACAAGAATTGGGACACCCTACCCCTAGACGTGAACACACAAAGCAGAGGGGTAGGGCTCAGTGGTAGGGACGAGGGGTAAAATGGGACTGGGCCTTTATCAGACTGGGCAAAATCTGGTATTCTACAGATCATATGACACAATAAACAATACACAAGAAAGGCAATATAAGATATAAGAAACCAAAGACTTTCTATTTTACTTTCTTTTTTTCCTGCTGAAAAGAAAAAAGCCCTCTGCATAAAGAGAGTGTGGAGTCGTTCATCACTGAGGAAAACAGAGCAACTTGGAATGGACTTGCTTCAAAGAGAGCTCAAGGTCACTAGGGTAATGACCATGATGTGGTGGCTAGTTATGCTGTTTTAAGACAGGTCACTCCGTATGTGAACTGAAGGCGTATGGAAACTAATATATAGAGATTTTATCTTAATTTCTCATTTCTCTCTCTCTGTCTCATTAAACATGCGCATAGATCATGGATTTAAACTCACAATCAAAAAATTCTTTCACGGTTTGCCCTTTTCCTCTTTGAGGGTGTTATGATGAAAATCGTGCTGTCCTGCATTGTGAAGCAACTATGGCTGAACTGTGGCTTTAAGGAAGTTATCTTCTCAGCCATTCATCCCTCATTTATCCTCTCCGTTTATCTTCCGCAATCACTCTTTACCTTCCATTTATCTCACTCTGTCCTTTCCAGTCTTCACCTGCCCCCATCTGCCCTGTTCAATTAATCTCTCTGCTTTCTCTCTGTTTCTTTGAAGTGTGTGTTTCTCTCTCATTACCCTCGTTTGTTTTGTCCCTGCCTGATCAGAGTCAGCGGGTTCAGTGTGCAGGGACGTGTTTGTCCCCCTCCAGGCACTTTGCCGGGACGCTCCGAGAGAAAGCAGCGTCAGAGCTCATCTTTCACCCCTGAGATGCAATAATCGTGCTGGGGAACAGTCATTACACTGGCCTTGACCTTTTCCACACTGCCTCCCCTGACCCAAATGTTTGGGTCAGGAAAATAAACACCAGAGGCACCACATATCCACACATTTTCACACACGTCAAAACCTGCCCCTACTTCTAAATACAGTACCTGTCAGTAACTACATAGAAGGGCTGTCCTCATTTTTACTATGTCCTCTTAACATTTGAGAACATTTGAGACATTAAAACTACGAAATTAAACATATGCAATTGTGCCGACACTAAAAAACATTAAACAAATCAAAACTTCTGTCTTCGATCCAAAGTACACTATATAGACAAAAGTATTAATACACACCTCCTAATTATTGAGTTCAGGTGTTTCAGCCACACCCATTGCTAACAGGTGGATAAAATAAAGCACATAGCCCTGCGGTCTTGATAGACAAACACTGGCAGTAGGGGGTTGTACTGATGAGCTCAGTGACTTTAAACATGGCACTGCCATAGGATGACACCTCTGCCACAAGTCAGTCTGTGAAATTTCTGCCCTGCTAGATCTGCCCTGGTCAACTGTAAGTGCTATAATTGTGAAATGGAAGCATCTGGGAGCAACAACAGCTCCACCACAAGGCGGTAGACCACACAAACTCACAGAGTGGACTCCCTCAAAGAGTTCCACATTGCCTCTAGAAGCAACTTCAGCAAAAGAACTGCAGGTTAGGAGCTTCGTGAAATGGGTTTCCATGACCGATCAGCTACAAACAAGCCTAAGATCAAAATGGACACTGCCAAATAGGGTGGGGTGGAAGGGAGTGATGTAAATATACGGTGTGACATATATGTATATGTATATGTATGTGTGTGTGTGTGTATGTGTGTATGTATATATACATTCTACAATTACAGACTGTAGTCCATCTGTTTCTCTGTGTGCTTTGTTAGCCCCCTTTTACCCTGTTCTTCAGTGGTCAGGACCCCCATGGACCCTCACAGAGCAGGTAGTATTTGGGTGGTGGATCATTCTCAGCACTGCAGTAACACTGATGTGGGTGTGGTGGTGTGTTAGTGTGTGTTGTGCTGGTACGAGTGGATCAGACACAGCAGTGCTGCTGGAGTTTTTTACTGAATTCACTGTCCTAAATATATTCAGTAAGGAGTTACATTACATTATATATTGCAGAATCATAGTAATAACTCTGTAGACTTCTGAGCATTAAGCCTAGCTGTTGATCAAAAAACCTGTTCAATGGAGAAAACAGTTCAAACTATTCTGAGCCCAGTGGTCCAGCCTACAGTGTTCAAGCTGATAAGGGAATTGTATGAAGCTAGAATATACACAGATGGTGAGATCAGCGTTTACTGATTCAGCGCTATATTACTTTCTGCTGCCTCGTCTTGTTCCTCTGCCTGGCTCGCACTTTCAATCATATCATTACCGTCAGGGGACACATT